CTTTTCTGAATTAGACTTCAATTTACAGTTTTCTTATTCTACCTGCAACTACTTATATTTTAGAATTTTTATCGATTATTGAATTATAAGAATAACTTTCCACTTTATAATCATCGTTAATAATAATCATAAGAATAAATATTAATTAATGTATAAAGTTATGTTTCTGTTTCACACACTGCTTTAAATTTGGATTAAAAAATTAATTCTCTAAATTTTGACTCTTCTTGTCTCAGAGCTAAATCCTCTTTTCATTGTATAACTTATTTAAAAATGTAATTATCAAAAGCAGATATTTTAGCTTGAAATCTTGAACAAAAGCAAAGATTTGTAATTCATGACCTCTTTTTCAGACATAGTAAATAACTAAGCTAATATTAATGCTTTTAACTAACTACAGATATATAAAGAGTTAGTTTTATGATAAATATTTACGTTTACATTTATTTTAATTTGATGTTTGGTGTTGTGTATTTGGTTGTAAAGAAAATTGAAATAGTGTTAAATCTCGCAAACTTTACACATCATTTACACATGTTTTGTTGACAGCTGCAGTACTGCTGATGGCCTGTAGGGGCTGGTTGCACGTTCAGAGCGGTGTCCCAGTTCAAATGTTGTGGTCGCGGTGTACTTAGCTGCTGAAATGTATTCTTATTTGATCGACTATAAGGCTCTTGAAACCAACAGTGTTAAATGTACAATATTACAGAGACATTTACATTTTCGGAATATTTACACATGTTTCGAGTCCTCGTGCACGGAACAGAAATGGACTTAGCATTCATTGATCAAGCAGTAGAAAATATTATGTCGAATGCCCTTTATATTTCCAAGCACTGAGCGTTAATATAGCTCCCAAAGTTCATTCAGAGGAGTCGAAACCATTGGACCAAGGAACAGAAAATGTACAGATATGTCACACTGCAAATAGAAACAAAACAGTAATTTCAAGAATTCTTTTGAGTATTGGTCTGTGTCTGACGGTCCATTCTATTCCCTCAGTCTTTAGAAACGACAAGAAAACAGTCCACAAAACTTCACTAACTCAAGTTTGTGTAAGCCCTCAGTCGTTCCCTGTCGTTCTCAGTCATTCCCTGAAGAAGTCCCCAGGTTGAGGACGAAACGTCGGGAAAACTTGCTAAGAAGTACAGATGATGGGTGAGAAACCTTCCTTTGCTTTCACTAACTCAATGTCTGTTATAACCCAGGATCGAGTCAAGGCGGATTAGAAAAAAAAAGTTTGGAAAGTAGATTGGAAAGTTTATGCAGTTAAAGCCAAAGTTGTCAGTTAGCATTAGCATCAATACAGCTAACTGTTTTATTCAAGGGGTTGGAAACTAGAAACAGTTAAAGCTAAAGTCGTCAGCTTACATTAGCATCGATAAAGCTAACACTTTTATTCAAGAGATTGCAAACTATAGAATAAACAGATCAAGCTAAAGTCGTCAGCTAACATTAGCGTCAAGGCAGCTAACACTTTTATTCAAGAGATTGCAAACTATAGTATAAACAGATTAAGCTAAAATTGTCAGCTAACATTGTTATTTGAAAAGTAACTTTAGCGTCAATACAGCTAGCACTTTTATTCATAATCTCTTGTTTTGCCCCCTATTCTTGCATCGCATCATGGACCGGTCTGACCAGCCCTGGACACGGCTTCTCAATATGCGGTGTTGGACATTTAAAAGTACAGTATTTCTTCCCCTGGTGGACGTTGGGACGCCCCTAAAATGGCGTGACCCCTGTAGAGTCACACGGTTTGGGAATAGTGTGGACATCCAGACACAGCCTTGATTTCAGAGTTTCAGTAATATTTGACAAGTTTAGTTTTCATTCTTTTGATGAACTCAGATTATTTAACTTCCTTCAAGATATTTCTGACCATTTTCAACAAACTGTTTCCTATTTTAATGAAGGGCTGATTCTTAACAGTGAGAGGAAAAGAGAAATGTTGTCCCTCATTGGCAATCTGATTTTATTCACGGTTTCTTATAACTATAGTCAGAAATGTCTTCAAACCAGTGAAATAATCTAAGTCACATGTTTTTATTCAGACTAAACAACTTACAAGACCTGAATTCAAAATAAAACTATAATTACCACAACCTGTTTATTGATGATTTCAGTCTTTTTCCTAATCACTAACATCGGCAGAGAGGCGTCCAGGAGGCATCCCAAACACACGCCCAAGCCACCTCAACTGGCTCCTCTTAACGTGGAGAAGCAGCGGCTCTACTACGAGTTCCCCCCGTGTGCCTGAGCTCCTCTATCTCTATACCACATAGTATTGTTGGATATACTATATAGTAAAACTGTAAATTTAAAGTGACCTAATACATTTGTTCCAGGTCAAATCTCGTCTAGAATACACACAGAGTTGCCATGGTAACGCTGCATCATTTTAGCAGTTTTGAAAATAGTTATTATTGTAATAAGTGCAGAATAGAGAAATGTAGTGGTGAACAATTAGACAAATGAGCTTATTGTAATTCATAGTTAAAAAGTCCAATTAGAAAAAATGACATATCAGTTGTCAGAAAACCAGAAAACACACATTAAGATTGATAACATGAGACTGAAAAAAACAAAAAAATAACAGTAAAAAATTGGTGATTATTGTGAATTCAAGTCATGTTTCTGTTGTTTGGACGTTGAAGGTTCCAGAAGAAAGTCTATACAAACAGGTCCATGCACTCAGAGCATCACACGTTAATACATTCTTATAGTTATTCATGTTTGGAGTTACATCTGCGCCAAAAACACACAACACTGAGACTGACTTTACTTCAATCGCAACAGCTCAGATTTTTTTTTGTCTGTAAATATTGCAACTCTGACCTAAAAGTGCAAAGATGCTGCCCACATCCAAGTCCAGGAAGTTAAAAAATATATATAGATTGTTTTCTTGTACTGATTTAACAAATAATTAACAAACAACAGTAATACACCCATTATCTTCTGCTTTATCCGTTGCAGGGTCACCGGGGCAACAGTTCAAGCCCTGATTTCCCACATAGTCCCTCCAGATATAGTCCCTACAGCGTGTCCTGGGTCTTCTTCCCGGTCTCTTCCCAGACAGATTCTAAAGCTACCTCAACTAGTCTCCTCTCGACGTGGAGAAGCAGCGGCTCTACTCCGAGCTCCTCTCTCTATATCAGCCCAGCCACTCTGCGGAGGAAGCTCATTTCGACGCTTGTATCCGCGATCTCGTCCTTTCGATCTTTACCCAAAGCTCAGGACCAGAGGTGAAGAAGGGAACGAAGATCAACGTAGCAGTAACTTTTATCACGGAATTTTATTGCTTTGAATGTTCCACAGTATGATTTTTACTTTCTTAAGAACCTGAATTCTTAAACTGGTTCTCGTCTCTGCAGATATGAGTTCTACCTTGGCCTCATCAAAAACGTACTTGAAACTTGCAAATTTACAAACACGGTATTCTAAGTCTTAAGTAGTTAAGACTTAAGCGACAGTAGCTCAGTTGGTAGAGCATTGGCCTTAAGGCCAGAAGGTCGTGGGTTCAATTCCCACCTCTGCACCTTCTCCACCGACTCCCACTGATGACTGCTGTCGTTGTGTCCTTGGGCAAGACACTTAACCCCACTTTGCCCAAAGCCCCCACTGAAAGATCAAGGCTATGCTCACACTCAGAGAGCAGCCGTCCTCCTGTGGACTCACCACCTGCAGAGGGTCAGTGAGGGGCTGGTGCTATGAGACTTGGGTGGCATCTCCGATTGCCACCCCCCTGACCCAGAAATGGATTAAAGGGTAGAAAATGGATGGATGGATGGATAGTTTTATATTTAGATATTTTTTAACTCCTTTCATTATGTTGGAATCAAACTTCCAGAACTTAAAGGTATATAGCAGGATTTTCCCAAATTTTAAGAAAGTTAGCAACTTTTTGAACTCTCTGGTCTTATTGGACGAGCACGTACCACCAGAATGATTGACAACTGGGACGACCAATAGTCTTGAAGATCCACCCAAAAGTAGAAAATCCTCCTTTAAACCTCTAAGTGGAATACAGACTGGGCAGAACTTTGCAGCTCAAAACTTTCATAACAGATGCATATTTAGCAATTTGTAAAACTTTGTACAGTGTAACAAACGTAATTATACTTTTAGCAGATTATAATTGTAGCTATAACTTATTGTCTTTCACTCACGTCAAGACCTTCAAGTGTTTTTGTCAACATTTATGGCCCAAATGTAACTCCATCCAAATCTATCAAGATGCTAACAAATAAAAAAAACATTAATAATCAATTACATAACACAAAATATCCTGCTATGCTACGTCTTTGAATAAAAACAAGCTTCTTAAAAACAAAAAAACATTACAAAAACCATAAGTGCCACTCTACTAGCTTATTCTACGGCCACGGAAACACAATCTTACAGCGCATGTACTGGCCACGCCCATGACCACCAGTAGATTACACATAGAACTAATTGTACAATCAATTAGTTCGTATTTTCGAGTCTTTATTGTTCTTTGAAATTACCAAAAAAAATGGATAGAAAACTCGCTGGCCCCTCCTGTTGGCCAACCCTGCCCACTGCGTTCAGGCACCCAAGGCTTTTGCAGATAAACAGTTACTTTGTCCCATAATTTTGTGAAACTTTGGAGATCTCTTGGCGAAGAACCGGTCCATTTCCCCTCCTTTTTTGACGAAGTCGCTTCAACACATTCAGCAAAGTCTTATATTGAATGTTGTAGCACGGGAAAAGGGCAAGCATTGTTCGAGTTTGAGTTCTGTTGCTGCTGAGAATGAAGTCCAAAGAGGCTAGCTCGCGTCGCAATCATTCATTAGCTTAGCGTTTCGCATCACTAGGTCCAACTAGGTCCAACTAGGTCCGAATTCCCGACGATCTTAGCCCGTATCGTTGCTTCCAGTCCGGTCAAAGTGATCCACAAACGTTCCAAAAGGTCTCAAAGCCGGTATAGTTGGACTTTGGGCCGTCTATGGGGTTAGCAAAGCCTGGTTCTGTGGGTCTCAGCTGTCTTTGCTGTTGCTGTTGTTGCTGTGGTTGTAGGTCCGGCAGGGGGAAGGCGAGGAGTTGGGTTGGTAGTCGAACTTGCCGAGCGCGGTGGGGTAGTAAGTGGTGGTGTAGACGTTGGTTTGCTGTAGCGGCGTGGGGTAGAAGTTGGAGCGCTCGTCTGGTAACAGGTTGTTTTTGTTCAGCGTCTGGAAAGGAAAGAAAAAAAAAATGAACAAATAGATCTTTCAATGTCACTCAACTGCCTGGAATGGGGAGCAGTGCTGTATCGCCATAGCAACCGTGTATGTTTGTCCTTAAAGGGAATTTGCCATGTCTTAAAAACATTAAAATGCGGAAATTATTTGCCTGAAGTCTTGGAGTCTCTTCCCAATCCTTTTTGAGCTTTAAGAGTGGAAGAATAAAGGAAACCCTGTATGTACGTTTCTTTCATGTATTATCTGTAATTACTGTTAATTATTAATTGATTCCTGTTTATAAGCTTGAAATAAATCCAATCAATCAAACAATCAATAAAAAAAAGCTAAAAATAGACACTTAAGTGTAGGCAGTTTTGAACAGGTTTTTAACGACCTTTACGGACATTTATTAAAATGTATTTATTGATCATTGGTCTCTGCCCCTTATGGACCAATGGCTAATGTGTTTTTCATCGTTGCATTGCTTGTGTTTGAACAGTTTGATTCTCTGATCTGTTGTTGGCGAATCGACAGCTTTTTAAAGTCCTCCCAGTTAACGACTGTTGTGATTTTTGTGAATTGATCGGTACATCCATTTTCTGGCTTCTCTCTTCACACACACATTCGGGGTAATTCAGAGGTATTCCCAGGCCAGTAAAGAAACATAGTCCCTCCAACGTGCCCTGGGTGTTCCCTCTGGAGAAGCAGGGGCTCTACTCCGAGCTCCTCCCTTGTGACTGAGCTTTGACCCTATCTCTAAGGGAGCACCCAGTCACTCGCTTGTATCCGCGATCTCGTCATTTTGGTCGTTACCCAAAAAGAGGTGTTTCTCCCTCCAAAGAGGGAGACCAGAGAGAGACCAGAGAGAAAGACCATAGGGAGACCAGAGAGAGACCATGGAGAGAGACCAGAGAGAGACGAGAGAGAGAAACCATAGAGATGAGAGAGAGAAACCAGAGAGAGAAACCATAGAGAGACACCAGAGAGGCCAATGAGAAACCAGAGAGAGAGGCCATAGAGAGACCATAGAGAGAGACCATAAAGAGAGACCAGAGAGAGAAACCAGAGAGAGACCAGAGAGATATCAGGGAAAGAGACCAGAGAGAAAGACCAGAGAGAGACCATGAGAGAGACCATGAGAGAGACCATGAGAGAGACCATGAGAGAGAGGCCAGTGTATAAGATAAGATAAGATATGCTTTATTTATCTCACAAAGGAGAAATGTACATGTCACATTTGGCATGTAAATGAACTGTGCTATACAAATAAACTCCCACTCACTCTCTCTGTGTCGTCGCAACTTTACTCAACACCAACGACTTTCTCCAAAGCTCAGTCTCCACAAACAACACCACAGTTTTTTGGTATTTTCAAGACAAGAACACTAAACTTTTGTTCTGTTCTTGCTGTCAGAATAAGTCTTAATGAGTGTGAACACAATAATACTTACACAACACTGCGTTTTTTTGTTGCCTCAAGGTTACACAACTGCGAGTGTGTGTGTGTGTGTGAGTGTGCGTCTTCAAAAACCAAAGCAATTTAATAAACCTAATTTAGCTCTTGTCAAGCACCCCCGACGTATACCGCAACAAGACGAAACACGCTTTTTATTCTGACGTGTGCGTGTGTGTGCGTCTGTACATGTGTGTGTGTGTGTGTGTGTGTGTGTGTGTGTGTGTGTGTGTGTGTGTGTGTGTGTGTGTGTGTGTGTGTGTGTGTGTGTGTGTGTGTGTGTGTGTGACAGCAGGCATTAGGCGAAGCACTTAGTCTAATGTAATCCATCTGGAGAAGGCTGTAATCATGTTAGAGAGGCTGAGAACGCAGCTCGGAGCCTGCAGCCGGGTCCAGGAGGTGGGAAAACATATATGTGGTATTGACGTTCCGTGGTGCGTTCAGGGTCTAATAAAGGAAACGAGAACAGGCTTTCAGCGCCATAGGAGACCCGGGCTATAATGGTGTCTCGCTGACCTACATCGGCCTTTGTTCATATAAGAGATTGCGAAAGATGAAAGAAGAAAAAAAAAAATACTGCTTATTTTTGGAGCAGGTGAGATTTATGATTTGTTTACACGGAAAAAAGTGATGAAGAAGAAGAAGTCAGAAATTCCTCTAAATTGGCAAAATGTATGTTAATTTGAGCATATTCTGACTTTAAAACAAGAATTGGCTTAAATTGGGTTAAATTAAAATGATTCCTTGGAATGAAAATAAAGCAAACATTCTTATGTATGTAAATACAAAATATACTCTGGTCTCAGCAAACACCAGCCCTTATGTACCATATGGTATTTACTGTCTTTTACCGTTGCTGGTATCTCCCTCATGCAGTTGTTGTGCATCCGTGTAAAATGTGTCTTGTCTGTAAACGTCCTTAAACCCATTAATGTTTACTTTAAAACGTGAACAGTTTGTTTTTGTTCTGGAGCAAACAGGAAGCTCATTGAGTAACTTGTTTGAAGGCACCAGGGGTGATTAAAGACGTTTTCTTCTTCCCACTCCTTTTCAAGTATATAATATTTATAATTTAGAATTATGTTAATGTAACTCAAGGTTATTTGTTTTTTTGTATATTCTAATTTTGTTTATTGTACACTTATTTGCTCAAAATAAACATGGCAAACTGAACTAAGGCTAAATGTCTTTGTCCCGTTGGAGAATCTTGTTTTAACACGGTCGGAATGTGCTCGAATTAAGATAAAAAACATTTGATTTAAGCAATTATTACTTCATATTTTATTATTTCTTGCAGTGTTCATGTTCCACTAAACCACAGCTCCTCAAAGGATGTATTTTATAAATATAAAAAGGCCTTCTTTTTGCACAAAAAAAGACTAAAAATGGATATTTTACAAATTTGGCTGAAGTCCTAAAACAAGATTTTCCAATGAAAGAAGAATCGAATAGTTTATTTGCAAAAACAGAGAAGTGCCGTGGAAGAATACGGGGAAAGATTACAATTGTCTCTTTACCAAGTCGTTTTGTGAAAAGCCAGATCTATTTTAGTGCCGCACAAATAAAGTTTCACCCCTTCTTACGCAAATTCTTTCAAATGAACTGCTTTTAACAGAACATGTTGAAGATTGTAACAGCGGAAAACAATATTTGGACAACATTTCCAAACAGAGATATCTGTTTTTACAAACTCTTCAATTACATCTGTTCTATCTGTCCTGGGAATGAGACTAAAGCTGACTCAACAAATGTTTGAACAAATGTTTTCAGATCAGAAGTTAAAATTGTTGAAATCCTCTGCAGCACAACGTTAGGTCGACTCTTGTGAGCACAGCAGGACCCACAGCAGGACCCACAGCAGGACCCACAGCAGGACCCACAGCAGGACCCACAGCAGGACCCACAGCAGGACCCACAGCAGCACCCACAGCAGGACCCACAGCAGGACCCACAGCAGGACCCACAGCAGGACCCACAGCAGGACCCACAGCAGGACCCACAGCAGGACCCACAGCAGGACCCACAGCAGGACCCCCCATTGATCTATCAGAATAACTGGACAGGGTATTACAGTGCTCGGGGGATTCTCGCGGTACTGCAGACCAAACCAGACCAAACCAGACTAAATTCACGTGGGCTACACAGAAAATGTCCCCAATAGAACTCAATAAAAACTAAAACAGCTCAACCTCAGCTGAAAGACGATACCCAAACATAGGCAAGTTCTGCTGATCTCTCGTTACCCACGGCGGCACATGCGCCACAGAGCACAATCCCATGATTTGAGAAGGACGCCATCTTGGATCGCCAGGGCTTGGGGCCACCATGGTCTTTTGAACCCCCCCCCCCATAACTGGCCAATCACGTGTGACCTGGGGGTTTATATGTCATGGCTAGTTGCCTCCTGGTCTCAGAGGACAAGAGAGAGACCAGAGAGAGAGACTAGAGAGACAAGAGAGAGACTAGAGAGACCATAGAGAGAGACTAGAGAGACCAGAGAGAGACTAGAGAGACAAGAGAGAGACCATAGAGAGAGACTACAGAGACAAGAGAGAGACCATAGAGAGAGACCAGAGAGAGAGACAAGAGAGAGACCATAGAGAGACTAGAGAGAGAGACAAGAGAGAGACCATAGAGAGAGACTAGAGAGAGAAAAGTTAAGAGAGACCAGAGAGAAAGACCAGAAAGAGAAGTCTGAGAGGGAGACCAGAGAGAGACTAGAGAGAGAGACCAAAGAGACAAGAAAGAGAGACCAGAGAGAGAGACTAGAAAGAGAAAGAGATTAAAAGCTCTAAAAAGGAATATTTGATGATGCAATTAAGACTTCAATGGACAGAATATTGTAAAATTAAAAGGCAAACTTCGAGAGAGAGAGGAAGAGAGAGAGAGAGCAGATAGATAGAGAGAGACCGAGAGAGAGCAGAGAGAGCAGAGAGAGAGACAGCAGAGAGAGACAGCAGAGAGAGACAAGAGAGAAAGACCAGAGAGGGACTAGAACGAGACTAGAGTGAGAGACTAGAGAGAAATAGAGCACAGAGAGCCTGAGATGTAACAGAACCCAAAGACACAGTACATGCAAAAAATAGTAAAAAAAAAAAAACATTTTGTTGCACAGTAAACGTAGTATGATTGGAAAATAAGGAACCCCAGCTTTAATTAAAAAAAAAAAAAAGCCCCAAAAAAAACGTGCACTTGGAGACTGCATACCCCGCCAACACCACGATCATCTCCAGGGTCTTCCTACCACCTCATCCCATCTACACACCACATTTCAGACCCATCCGTCCAGTAGCTTTAGCGCAATCCTACCTGCAGACAAACACACACACACACACACACACACACACACACAGACTATTACAATACCCCTGTAATAGTCTTAAAAAAATCCCACTTAAAAGGTAGGATTTTCCCATATTTTAGGAAAGAACCGCCCTCTCCACTTTTTGAACCAAACTCTCTGATCTTATTGGACGAGCACGTATCACCAGAATGATTGACAAGTGGGAGGACCAATAGTCTTGATTAGGTAAAGGTAAAGGTGCACTTTATTAAT